GACGATCAAGCCTATAAACTCATTCTCACCCCCGCTGATATCGGTTGGCCAATACCTTGTCCCAATGATAGTCGATGCAAGGAGTTCAGAGGCGAAGGCGAAGGCGCCGTTGTCGACGGGGAACTTGCGATCCTGGACGGCCCCGGCCTCCCAACGGAGGAGGGTGTGATCAGAGGGGTCGTAGACCGGGCCTTCCCAGCCATTGGGGCCGAGGTTGTCCATCGGCCAGACCCCGATCCGTTGGACGTCCCAGATGATCACCAACAGTTCGGGCAAGAAGTTGAAGTCGTCATCGATCGAGATGATCGGTCCGTGGCCAAAGAATCGCTACAGAGGTGGCCTTAGATTTGTCGGAGAACAGAAGAGAGATGGTTCGAACCATGGGCAAACTGACAAATGCAATGGGAGAGGAAAACCTCGAGATCCGATGTAAATGGACCACCCCCAACCGACGATGCAATATGGGAAATAATATGCTCTGGATGACCAGAGCAACCACTCCGTTCGAACTAAGTGTCAATCCTGATAATGTGGTGTAAAATTAGAAGGACCGACTCAGCATGCCTTCGAGATTACCGTGTAAAGTGTTGTGAAATCCAAACTCGCAAATTTTATGCATAATCAAATATGCATCCTCGCATATCTTCGTGACATCCAGATCCATTGCGTCATTCCTTCTCTTCTGCAAGCAACTGCATCCTTCGCCGATAACTTTCATCTTCCCTTCTTTATCAGTTGCTCACCACAAATCCAATCATCATCAATCAAAATCTTCCGAGGTCTCATTCAATCGCTGATCAATCAAGTTACAACACTCGACTCATCGACCAACCACTTCTAACATTCAGGAGGAGCTAGATCTAGCTTCTGGGCAGGTAGCGTGGTTTATGCTATTCTATCTTTGATTGTTAATTGTAATTGACCGTTTCTTTTATTATTCTTTCAGGCTTTTTCGTTGTGATAATCCTCGTGTTAAAGAAGTCGACGTCGTTGTGTTTTCGTGTTTTTAACTTTGTTATATTCTGATCTCATTCATCAGGTATTTCTTTCTTCAATTTCTTATTGTTTTTATCTGATAATGAATCATGTTTACTTATCATTACTTTTTGTTAAAGATTATTACTTCTATTAAGTTTTATAATATTATTTCTATAAAGTATTGATTCAACCATTTTTACATAAAGAGCTTCTAGTCAGGCGGGTTGAGACAGAGAACTGACCAATTTGATCGAGAGTCAATCCGAGCCCACCATCTTCCACGCCTGAGTTCAACAAATGTAAAGATTGGAATGGTAGGTTCAGTGATACTCTTCCCAAGACGCTTAACAAGCAACATATGAGAACTGCCTAGGGCTGTATGAGAATAATGGGATGATGGCCATCCAAGCCGAATTCTCCAGGGCCATGAACCCAAAACTGATCAACAGAGTCACCAAGTCGCGTGTCAATAATTCTTTTAGAGTTCGGGCTCGTTCAGCCGGATCTGGTCTTTCCTGGTCCTCCAGACTATCCTGATGGGATATCTCAGCAGATCGTTACTGTGGCTTGAGGACTTTACTTGGTAAAGTCTAAAGGGGAGAAGAAACTCTATTTTGATTAATCTTAAGACTTGGAAAGTCACCTCAGGAATCACGAAGAAGGAAGCGCTAGTTGAGAATGATGATCGCACACACCTCCTCCAGATACAGTGTGCCTAGGACGACAGCCAAGACGTTGAAGAGTCCCGCCAAAAGACAAGGGATGAAGTAAGTGTCTGGCGAAGATCGAGTGCGGATATTGCTTGGCGGGCTCGGCTGTGTATCCACCAATCGCCGGGCCAATCATTAATCCGATGGCCCAACATAACGGAAGAATCGGGAAAGCCCTGGGGAAAAAAAGAAGGCTCAGAAGGGTGCATTTTCTGGATTTTAGGCGAGACGAGCAAGCACAGATACGCACCGGGCTTTGTTACTTTCATCCGTGATCTCAGCCATCGAGCTCTTTTTGTTTTCGTAAACACCACGGTATGAGTCTTGTTGTGGTATATGTCTGGACGAGAGAAAACGGTCTAATTACGTACCTTGACCACGGCGATGTTTCCTGTGGTCGACGAGCGGAGATGGGAGGGAGAGGATCAGCCACGCTGCAGATGAGTGTGGCGAGATTATTCAGAGAAAGAGGAATTCTTGCGCATCGAGAAACTTTTCGTCCCGTCTTGCCCTCCCTTCGGAGCTATAGGATGCCCAAGAAACCCCTGGTCTCATCCGCCAAACGGTGAACCTTTGCCGGCAGGGCAGCCACAAGCCAACCTCAAAGCAGGATCCCATAGCTTTCAACAGGCTCAGCCTCATGTCACTACCATAGCAAACTGTAGTACCAAAACAATCTCCATCAGCAGCTATCACAGCAATCAATCCACTCGGATTGGAATCCTTCATTTGTGCTACCCACTGCTTTCTCTCAACACTTGTTACAAGGCTTATCTCTGTAAAACGGAATCTGGTTTGAGGTGAGCCAGACCTAAACATGACACCAAAACAACGAGAAGAATCACTCCATCACAGGCGTGATTTTTGAGTCGCAGGAAGGTGTTGCGAAGGCGGGAAGAAAAACCCACGCTGCCCCTGAAAACCTGCAACTACTGAAAATTCTGGGGGACCTTTCTTTACATCAGAAATTTAGTTCTAATCCCCACCCCGCTACGAACCAGGAAGTGAATGCAATGAGGCGAGACAAGTCCAAACCAGCTTCATGTCCTACTGGACGACAGCACGTGCTTCTCCGGGGTCCAAGTTTCGGTCGGGTTTGGCATTCGCATGGTTCGTCATCTTTCAACACCAGCTGCCAAGTATCTCGAGGACACTAGAAGATCGCGATATGTGTGTCAGGCTGTCGGGGTGTGGCAGGATTTCGGTGCTGCTATCATACCGCCAGCCAACCCGTCTGGTATCCTGTTAGGCTCGAAACACAATGACGGAAGCTAGCTTTCTCCGGTAACATGTCAGGATTCCGGGTGCTCCCATATCTGCCCTGGCGGCTCAAGGATGCACTGGATACACGGATGATCATAGATGCGTACCGGAGTGGAGAAGACTATAAAACCTGCCTTGTCTCTACCCATTGGATTCGTGCCCATCACATCTTCGCCAGCCAAATCAAGAGAAACTCCTTTCGATCCTTTCCAAAGCCTCACCAGAGTTCAAAAGTTAAATCTTTCCTCTTGAGACGCCCAATTCAGTACGTGGCCTTCTCACCTAGTCTAAAAGCCCACCGAACATTGAGTATCCCGTCATTCGTTGAATTCGTTGAATGATATACCGCTCTGACTGAAAGGCGGAGGGACAGAACTGACGGAATCGCGCGCGAATTTTGCAGGTCCTGAGCAGGGCAAGATATATCGATCGATCTTATTATAATATCAGCTTCAAAAGGTTTCCAGTAATCCTCCCCAACTGTCCCAAAAGTACTAGGGAACCCGCGGCGAAGGACGCCGCGGGCTCCTAGGAACTGAGAACTGAAATCAACTTAATAACTGAGATATGAGTACCACTTTGTCTGAAATTAACTTAGTAAATGAGATATGAGTACCACTTTGCTTTGGAGCAGGAATGATGTGGGTTGCAAAACACTTTATTGGACATAGTATTCCATAGCATATTGTAAGACTAAATACAATGTGGCCCAATCAAAATGAACTGATATCAATCGGAGTTGTGAGAAATGAGGGGTGAGGGAGATGTTAGCAGGGTGAGCGACGGACGACGTGGGGTGTTCCGGTGTGGGGGAGGTAACAGCCGGCGGGGAGGTTGTAAAAAAAAAATCCCTAACCCCTAGCGCTCGCTACGCTCGCTACCCTAAGCCTAAGAGAACTGGAGAACCGAGAAGTGGGTTCGTCGACTGGATACCTGTATGGATGGAACACGGGTATGGTCAGCGGGATGGAATAGAAATCGGCCAGTCACGCAAGAGATACGCACGTGGTCGGTCAGAGGCTGCAGTGATCAAGCTTCCACAGGGCGCCCGTGACACCTCCTGATCACATCGAGATTCACGACATTGGTTGTGCCTGCGGCTTGTAGGGGATCCCCTACCATACACAGTGACAATCCAGCTAAGGTCGTGACTCTCGACAATGCAACGTACAATTGACCATGGCCGAAGACGGGCTGAGGTAGGTAGACTGCAACTCTGGAAAGCGATTGCCCTTGTGCCTTGTTTATGGTGAGAGCGAAGGCTGTAGCGACAGGGAATTGATAGCGAGAGAAGGTGACCGCGTAAGTACGATCTGGTTTGTGAATGAGCTTGACCTTTGGGATCGATACTTCATCCCCAATGCAGGAACCCGTCATGATTCTGCACCGGAGGGCGTTGGACTTCACCCCAAGCAGCAGCAGCCGAGTACCGTTAGAGAGACCGCTTTTGAGGTCGAGGTTCCGGAGGAGTATCAGGGGGATCCCAATCTTCAACCGGATCTCAGAGTCGGGGAATCCTGGCAGTGAGAAAGTACGCAGTACCTCCTCGGGGATTGCTTCATCGCTCTCGGCCCCATTGTCCTCGTTCATCATGAGGTTGATCGAGTGGGAGGTGAACATACGTCCTGGAAATCGGGAAAGGCACATAGTGTTGACCATGCAGATATCCGCGTTCAGCGGCGCTAAAATCAAGCGGCTGCCGAAGTAATCGGTCATGCTTTCCGGATCGCCGCCAGCAAACACGGTTTCCAAATCCCCATATGCAATGCGGATTGCGTTGTTGGCAACGACGACCGGGTCCAGGTGCCTGAACACCGTGCCGAAACGAAGATCGATGTCTGCCGACATTTCGGCTTGGGCCGAACCGTTACCGACCGTCAACAGCCACTTGTAAAACTCGGCGTTGATCCGAGAGGAGTCCGGGTGATCTGTAGTAATTAACCTCAGGTTTTGAGTCAAGTGGAAGGTTGTTACATGATTCCAAATGGGGGAGTTGATCATGCACTTGTCAGCTTGGTCTAAGATGGATCCCCCCGGGACCACGGGCAAGGTCTGCCGGAAGTCGCCTCCGAATACGATGATCTTGCCACCGAAGGGTCGTTCGTCTTCCATCAGTTCTTGAAATGCGCGATCTACGGCCTCGACGGCATATTTGCTCTGCATCGATATCTCATCCCATATCACGATTCTGGTCGTGCGGAGTTTCTCAGTCGATGCGGCCCTAGGACGCCATATACAGGCGGAATCTTGATGCAGCTCTAAGGGAATCTTGAACCGAGAATGAGCCGTCATCCCCTCGACCAACATCAATCCCGCAACACCCGAAGAAGCCACAGTGGTGACCGAAATATCGGATGCGATGAGGTAATGAATCAAGGTGTTCATCAAGTAGGTCTTCCCGCAGCCACCAGGTGCGTCGATGTAGATCAAGCCAGCTACCTGCTGGTCCACCATGTTGATAACAGATTCAAATATGACCGTTTGATCTCTGTTTAATCGTTCGGACATGTCCAGGAAACGGCGTGCGTGATTGCGAACCCGATCGTGTTCTTCTTGAGCGGTCTCATTCCGAAAGATGTCCCAGAATCCGTCGTACAACGCGGCGTCGAGTAGCCCAACAGTTTCGAGAGTCTTGTTATGTCGAGCGACGATCTGATGTAACAGGAAGTAGCACAGAGAGTTGCGTTGTTCTACAGAAGGATTCCGGATGCCGTAAGTATGCTCCAACTTGTACATCAAATCATCAGACAGGTCCTCGATGAACTCGTCCATGAGGTATTGAGGCAGGGAAGGGGGGCTGTGGAGTAGGATCATGCAGAACATGAGCCGAAGACTGCCCCCGGTCATCCAGTGTGCAGCATCGATCAGGGATTGTCTGTAGTGTTGATCCGTCATCAACAACCCCAATTCTTCGCAGGCTTCTCGGAAAGTGGACAAAGTGACGCCTGCCACTGTTCTGAGATCCTCGAAGCTGGTTGCCCCTCTCACATTGAGGAGCAGGAGACGTAAGAAATAACGTTCTCCTTCGTTGATCGAGGCGTGATACAGGCGCCCGATCATGTCAGATCTCCTCTGCCTTGCTTTGAAGCGTTTCCCCCTAGCCCATGTGAAGTAGGCTGGGAATTCATGGTAGAGGAGAGAGCGCGCCGCTGTACCTAATCCCATGGCGTTCAACCGATTGAGTCGGAAGAATTCGGTCAGAGTGGTTCGAGAAGCCGACCCGGTGGTCATCTGTTTCAGGAGGCCCTCCTCGTCGGTGTAATAGACCTCTTGCTGATCTGGGAGATGGATTGATAAGCGTTGGATAGGTGGGTACCGCTCGCTGGTCGAGAATCTGAGCAGTCTGTATGCAGCTGGGGGATAGCGGATCAGGATGACAACTCAACAGTCAGCTAAATTCGAACGGGGAAAAGAGGCAAATGACTTGAACATACCTTCCGAGGGTCCAATGTAACGGCCGTTGATGAACTTGCGGGTCTCGTCCCCTTCACTCATCCTCATGGAGGATCGGTCAACGCCTTTCGTAATGTATTTGAACAGATATTTTAATGCTCGGATTCCGTAAGGTATTTCTACATTGATGTGGCAGTCGTACCGCAATAGCAAGTACTTATTGTACGGTACAACGTGCCCGTTATGGAACACATTGCCATTCTTAACGAACGTCCGACCATCATTTCGCCGCATGTAGTTCGGGTAAGAGTCTTCAGCCAATGCCGTCCTTTCCGAAAACGGTTTTGGAAATCCTTTCCCGCAAGCCCCATCCTTCCAGCAGACACTCGACTCGGTGCAAGGACCATGTAGCATGACCTTGGTGACTATGTCATGGAGCAACGGTTCGTTCGTTTGATCAGGGAGCTCCGCCGATACCAAGGAATCGATGGCCTCAGGTGTTCGAGGTGTACTTGCTCGATCCAGAATAATAATGATGTGGGCGTGTGGTAAGCCACGCTTCTGGAACTCAATGGTATATACGTAAGCAACCACCACACCCAGTCGCTTGTTCTTGATTAAGTCGTCGAGCATTGAGGTCAATTTCAAGCGGAACACCCGCGTGACTATATCGGGTCTGTTGGTAGGTTGCTGGTGCGGTTCTAAACATTGAAGGACCTCTGGCCAGTGCGAGTTTGCCGTCATTGTTATGAATAGAGATGGGGGACCGTAGTGCCGGACACTTGCCATCGAGTCTTGGTAAAGCTGAAGCATGTTTCTTGGAGATCCAGAAAAGGAAGAAGGCAACACGATCCTCCGGCCTCGAACATCTAGATCGTCCCTAAATGACTCCCGGACTCCTTGGTAGATCTCCGCCTTGATCTGGGCTTGGTTGAATCGGAAGAAATTTAATCGTGATCTCTCGACGCATATGTACAAATCGACCAAAATTTCTTGGAAGAGGTGTTTCCCATTTAGGATCGCAGAGAACCTGCCGTTCCTGTCAAATATCATGGAGGCATACCATTCGCATTGCGAGATGGATGCGGCTATGAGAAGAAGGTGTCAGAGATTTGGTATCAGGCAGAAATGAATGGAATCTCACTAACCCCTTTCGGTTCCGCTTGGCCAACCGTGTATCCAGCCCTGTTCTCCATACGGGAAAAAAATGGGGTACCGAATTGGAAGATAACCGCTGTAGTCGTCCGTAATGTGATACAGCCCCCCCCCCTACCGTCTGCAGTGTGATATTTCGCTGTCCGATCTCCTCAGGGGTGTCATTGTTGATCACCATGCCTACTTCGAGTGCCCGGGGCGCATTGTAGACTCTTTGATCGAGGTCTGATCTGACATAGTTGCGTAAGACATAGCGGGCGTGAGGATCCGGTCCGTGTTCCCGACCAATCATCCTGAACCACCGGGCATAGGTGTTGTTGATAGATAACCACCGTTGGATGGAAAGCAACAATCGTTCGTCGACCGGAGACCTCGCTTGGTTAGCTCGCAAGTGTGCCTCTGCCTCATCGTTGCCACCAGTCACATAGATCTGTGCAAAGGCAGGCCTTTGCTGACCGTCAGGGAAAACCGAACCGATGTCGTGATAGAGGGCCCCCGTCACTTTGAATGTGTAGATTCCTCTTTGGCCTTGAACACTCCGGTCGACCTCGGCGCCGCAAGAGGAAAATGACAGGGCATTATTGTACGCTCGAACGTGACTTTGGAATTCTACGGAGGCTAAGAGATGATTCCAATGTGGTTAGTAGGTAGAATCAAGTAATGAGATCGAAGAAGTTGCGTAATGGGAACTCACTATTATCTTCGCCTGTGAAAAGCCGACGCAAGAACGGTGGGTATTCAATTTCGTCGTACCTGACAGGCAACTCCACTTTTCCTTTTCGGCAGCAGGTAGAGTAACATGCGGAGATCGCTCCAATAAGATCTTGGGTCCTTTCACCCAGGAAATGCAACGCTCCACAGGATTCGCAGCTGTCGGTCATTTGACCGACATAAGATGGAATCTCATTGCGGAACCTCCTGATGATCTCCGATTCGGTGTTACTTGCGGGTTCGGAGGCGACAACGCGATCAGGGGGCAAGAAATGTTGGATATCAAACTCTTCGCGATTTGGGCGTCTCGGGGCAGGTGTTGGGGTACGATTGGCGGGGGTAGATGCACGGCTTGCAGATGAGGCTCTACTTGGGGATGAGGCTCTACTGACTGAGCGGAACCTCTGAAACATAGCCCTTGCTCGAGAAGCTAGCGCTTGGTTCCCGGATCGTCTGGCTGAGGGCATTGTCACTGCGGTCTAGTGTTTTTTGTATATATTATAGTGTAGTAAGGTAGTAATATTGGTCGGAGTAGTCAATGAGTTACTATCTCTGATTTTTTGGAGTGGGGCCGGCAGAAAGACTTGACTTGGGGTGAATAGAGAGTCCCGAGAAGAATGGAAAAGAGACGGGACCTATTCCCACATCCAATACATCCTACCGCAACTTGTGTTCTTCCGAACGGCCCACCGACAAATTGGTCGGTATGTATTGGGGCTTCACGTGGTAAGAGGAGATTCATGTGGTAAGTACAGGGCCTACAATCAAAACACTTTCGTGACCTGATTAAATTGTTTGTGTTGCGCCGGCGGCTGACGGAAGAGATGTTTGGTACAGTGGGTCTGCCAAATCTGGGCGCCCGGCACAACTAATAAGGCCTGGATGGAATAAGGGACTGGTCCGTGTGGACATCCGAAGCAACGATTCACTAATCTTACCTACCCATCGCTCAAGAACACTATGAACATACGTGGGTGTGAAGCCATTGACCGTGCAACGATAATAGATATTGGACGCGGCAGATACATGTTAGAAGTCGGCCGAGTCCATAGGCCTGGCGATCATGGCCGTCATGGCCCTGCAAGTACCCCACCTTACTCGTTATCATTCCGCTTGCCCGGTGACGTGGTACTCGAGCCAAATCGACGCCTTTATATTGCGTACGTTGGGAGATTAATGTTGAACGGCGGAGCCGGGGGTCTGAGGGTCGCCTCCACGATAACGAACATAGGCCCGTTGCCTCCGGCATCATTCGTTAACAATTTGCGGGCCGGACCAATCATATCGGGAATGGGGGTGGTAGTTGACGAACAGGATATGCTGGTCAACATGATGGGCCGAAGAGAAGATGTCAGCTTTGTTTGGGAATCGAATCGCTTTGGACAGTATGCTGACTATTACCACCTCAGGGTCCTGTAGTACGATTGCGACTCAATGAAAGAGACATGGTCGACCAGGCACATGCGTTGGTCTTCGGACGAATAGTCTACATTCTGGGCCGCCTCATTGAAGATGGGCACACACCTGGATTGTTGAGTGTTGAGGTGAGCAGATTTTTGAAACAATTCCGCGAATGCAAACTGACTGACCTCTGGTCAAATCTCTAGGTGGGTTCTATTCTTACTGGACGGCTTGGTATGTAGCCGTTCTGGGCCGCTGCTGTTGTAAGGGCTATGTCCCAAAAGTCGTAACATTTAGTCTTAAGAGCACCGACGCAAGATTCATAATATGTTGTCGTGGCTCGGCTGTTGCTTTTGCAGGGGCTTTGCCCCAAAAGAAAAGTCCAAATTTTCCATTCAATCTAAATAGCACCGATGGAAGTGGCGTTGTGTTGAGATCAATCAAATGATCGGAAATGAAACCATGAACAGAAATAACTGGACGGCTTGGTATGTAGCCGTTCTGGGCCGCTGCTGTTGTAAGGGCTATGTCCCAAAAGTCGTAACATTTAGTCTTAAGAGCACCGACGCAAGATTCATAATATGTTGTCGTGGCTCGGCTGTTGCTTTTGTAGGGGCTTTGCCCCAAAAGAAAAGTCCAAATTTTCCATTCAATGTAAATAGCACCGATGGAAGTGGCGTTGTGTTGAGATCAATCAAATGATCGGAAATGAAACCATGAACAGAAATATTTAACAATGAAGTGAGAATCAACCAAATGATTGGCAATGAAACCATAAACGGAAACATTTAGCAATGAAATGAGAATTCTACATAGATGACATGAAAGTCTTTGCCCTCTTTTGAGAATCGGCCAGGGACAAAGGCGCGGAGTTTCCGCTGGCGGTGCTGCCCGACCCGTTTGTGGCAATCCGCTTCCCCTTCTTGTCGGTGCTGAGAAAGTGACCATCCTCAGCATCCTCGGGTCGTCTGTCCTCGGTTATCTCACCGTCAGATACTTCGTCGGCGCCCGGAGATTGGCGGCTGGTAGAAGGTGTCGGGGTGGGGAAAACATTTGGACTGAAGGGACGTCCGGCCGCGCTGCTACTGGGAGTTTTGAACTCGTCGGACTGGCTTGGTGCGTTGCTTGCAGCGGTGGGGGATGATGAACCTACTCCCCCAATCAATCGCCTGCACCGAGGTAATCAGTTTTGAGGGAGGAACTGCCCGTCAGGTGACTGTCACGCCCGCTCTTATCTACTACGGCCGGAATGGGACTCACAGGCCAGGTCGGAGCTGCCCGCTGGTACCGGAGCCGGAGGGGGTCGGGGGCGCACGGAACGATGACTTCCCCGAGGCCGTAGAGAACAGGTAGACCTGTAACCACAAAGTGTAGAATGAGAGAGCTGTCGTTGGTGCGGTAGGAGGTTGGGACTTACCAAGACTTCCCAGGTCCCAAGAGTTTCGTTGAATCCGGTGATGTTTCCTATCATCAGCGCCTCGGTATCAACAGTAAAGAAGCCGAAAGTGTTTCGTAGGATTGCGTTCCCAGGGACGATGTAGACGGCCTCGAAATCGAGGTTGGACTTTTTCTGAAAAAATAATACGGTATTCATCAATGGTTGGCGCAGGCCCCGGTGAAATAGAGAACGGAAAAGGCCGCACTGCATTGTGGTAATCGTGGTGTCTCATTGTCACATGCAGATCGGTCTGCTGTGTGTTGTTTATGCCAACACCTGGGGCTTTCCGAGTCTGGATAACAGTCCCAAACCCAAAGACCCACACTTTTCCAAGAAGTTCAGAGCCGAGGTCGATCTCGGGATGGATCGGATCAGTTTTCCGGTACTGACGGGCGTTGCCGACTAATAGACTCAGGTTGCTTTCGAAGAAGCACTGGTAACCTCCGGCCGTGGTGGTCCGCACGATTCGGCCTACGGTGAAGTAGACATTGTCTCTGACCAAGGATGTTGCCCTGGAGCCGTAGCCTGAGAATTGCACTCCAATGGCCGTTTCGCCCGATTTTCGATCCATCACGACAATAGATGAAAGATAGTTGAACATCCCAAAGGATTTACCCTTTTCGAGGTTGGGCTCGCGCTGGATGAGTTGTGGAATCCAGAAATGTTCAGTACGGTTTATAAGAGAGGGCAATTGAAAAGATTTACCAGTTCGATGATGTCAAATGGACCAACGAAGTACATTGGCCGCGTTGGCCGCTTCGGATTGGACATGTTCTTTCACGGGGTCGAGGGTTCTTTCACGACTTGGAGGCACAGTGCGAGGTGGGAAATGAGACTCTAAGAGTCGGTCAGTGCAGGATGGACTTTTGGACCCTCGATCATAAAGGTTCCGTTGTTTCCATGGCCTGGCTTAGGTGTCATTTCGGCATTGACTGTATCTGATTAACTGTATTACATTCCGGCACGGACTTCTGACGTGATCGTAAGTGCTATTGTACATGTTGGAGGCTTACATTGACCTGGAATGGCTTCGGGTTTAGTTGGGCCGGTACTGCTACAGTGATTCGTGAGTTGGTGGCTTGAAAGCACGTACCTGTTGGCTTGCATACCTTGGCTTCGGGTTTAGCTGAGCCGGTGAATCTACGGTGAGGAATCGGTTGGCTTAGGGGAAACAGTCTCCTTGAAAGGTCTTTGGGGCTGACCGATGCGGTGTTGTTAGATTATAAAAAGGGTGTGGGACAACCGTTGCTCCCGGGGAGGCTGGAGCCATCGGAAACATAAGTCATAAAGTCATATAAGTCATAAGTCATCATAAGTCAAAAGTAACAAAAAAAAATAAGTCAAACAGTAAACAAAAAACAAATAACACAAAAGTCTCAATTAAAACAAAAAAACGACCGAGTAGAACAAAAACAAAAAATTATAACAAAGACTTACAGAACCCACGAACTGCGAAAAAAAAATCTTCGACCTGTCAAGGTAGTAGATTTCGGAAATTCTCCATCCATTCCAAAAACTCCATAGAATAGTCAGACTTACTTATCTGCACCATCCATCCCATGGTTAGGAATTCTTCGTATCCGCGATGAAAATCACTTATCTCAGTGGGTGCCTTACGCTCATCGTTACCATCTTAGGAAGCGGCAATGTTTCCGGGATGGGATCATGCGTTAAAAAGGAGGAATATGTTCGAGGCCCATGCGCGACCAATGGCTGCTCGACGATTGTGGACAACGGCCAATATACGTTGAAGTGTAATGATCCACGTTGTCGCAACAGCGACTGTGGCACAACTTATCTTCCCAGCGGGAATATTTGCAAAAAGTGTCTAGTAAAATGTATGTAAATATATGTATCATAGCGGAAGTCTTTATTGTGAAAGATTCAAGAATTTTACTGAACAACCTAATTTCCGGGTGTGGCAGCGACGGCTGAATCGTCTTCACAGGATCGATGAAAGTGTGCGAAGAACCAATTTTAGAATGTATATATTCGGATCTGCTAGAATGATAATTAGATATTAAAAGGAATATAACACGTGACAAAGGAGGGTATTTATATCCAAGACTTAAAGGATGTGACCCGGAACCTGATAACCCAGCAGTACCCGACGGGTACCGAGTCGAGTTTCTTCTTCTCCCCTCACTCCTACACACTCCCTCAAAACACACAGTTCTATTGGTTCATCTTCCACTCCAGGGAAATTGAACTTAAATACAGCAATCTTCTTCCCCATGCTATTAATAGAAAAATTGAGTTGTATTGTCCCTGGGCTCAAAAAAAAGGGTGAAGGGGCTCAACGGGATATGGATTGTATGCAATCATCAGTATCACTCTTGAGTCTTTGGACACTTGGGTTCAAAGCGGGAGTACTTCTCAACTAGATGAATTGCTGTTGCTTCTCTCGGATGCGTACATAAAGTCTCGTGTAAGGACAACCAAACCTGACTTGGTGGGTCAGATGAGATCAGTTTCCATTTCCTTGGTGATGATTTAATGCCAACGTTCATTGCCACTATCTGGTGAAACCCTGCATATCAGCGACGTCGTTAACTATTCCTGAAAACTGGTGCAAGTTGTGCACAAATCGACAGAGTGAAGTGTTGTTATCACGACACGTCTTCCTCCAAATGAATGAGTAGGACGACGCGTGAAGAAACATACCCAAACAACTTGAAAACCCCGATGACGAGTGATTAATTTTCAAGCGTGATACTTGCTGATATTTTGAAGGGTGCAATAGGATCGAGACACCGGATTACAACTGAATCTAAAGTAAGAACTTGTTGGTAAGCACTTGAAGTGAACGGCAATAATGTAACAACATTTGTAACAAGGTCCGAAGTGGCGAGTAATGGAAACAAAGCTATCACCGGCACATCATCGATTGTTGCTTACCCTTCGAGGCGATTGTCAACGCTTTGTAGTTAGCTGATACTAGCTGGTCCTCCCAACCATGCTTGATTAGTGTCCGGTCCCTCACTTTTTTCATTATGGCACTTCGTCATACAGTTCAAAATTCAAATCACCGATTGTACTTCTGTGGAAGGCAAGGTGATCCAACCCTCATGGAAACGGCCGATCGTCTCGTTTTCAAGGCCTCTTTTCCAGCCGTCCGTGACACGAGTTTATCGGTATATAAGGGGACACGACTTGCGCCCAAATTGAGGAATCATTCTCCACAACTCTCCAGGCAAAGAACTCTCTCCTAACCATTCACACCACCCAATAGTTCCATATTTTGTTTGCATACATCCAAATAAATTGACTGGTCAATCTACCTTGGTGCAACCCTCTTGATAACCTATATTTATCGCATCAATCAATTATTACTTCCTTTATAAACCCAAATAACATTTACAGGATGATGTTGATTCACATTTTGGGGCTAGTCTCTTTATTAGCCAGCCCGCCTGTTGCGCAAGCTTCAGTTCAGTCATTGAACGTGAGGAGGTAAGTGCTTATTGTTTTGTTTCTGTTCATCAATGGATTACTAACCATCATGATTTTCAATAGTTTGGCTCCGCGCCATGAAGAATTCATAGCGGAACACACCAAAGAGGATCCGAAGGCCACCGGACAAGCCGCTACGCTTGGCGAAGATAACCGTGAAAGCTCTGCGAAGGTTCTGGTTAGACGGCAGGGAACTAAAACTGAAAAGGGTAACAAGGGCAACAATGGCACCACTACTACTACTAGTGACAGTGATAGCGATAATAATAATAATAATAATAATGACAAAGATAAAAACAAAAATGGAGGATTTCAGGGGATTTTCATCGATCCCGGCACTCTTGGAGAGTGCAATAATCCCACAATAGTAGCAGGAAATGGTATGAATGGAAGGAAAGATAAAGACTTCACTTTCATCACATTAGATCAGAAACACTATCAACATTCTGAAGCATTTAGTGAGTAATCTTTGTTCTTTGTGTGATTTTAAATACATACTAAATAATTTGTTTTCCCTATTCATTTTTTTGCAAACAGACTTGCAGATTATCACTAAAGGTAAGCCAGTTTTCTCCTGGATTCTTGAAGATGATTCATCAATGAGCCAATTCAGATTAAAATTAACAAAAAATTCAACCAGCTGCATGCGATAAGATGCTCAACTGTGGAGTCAAACAGAATGATCCTACTAACAAAAAGTGCAACGACTTGTCCACCAAGCTTGGTAAATCCTTAGGCCAAAAAGAAGGTGCTGTAAATTGGAATAAAGCTGTGAGTGACTTGAAAGTTCTCAATTTATTATGCAATTTGCTACCAATGTTGCTCACCACTGATGTGACATTGCAAAAATAACCAATGTAAAAAAATTTGGCACCTTTCACAAAAAATGAATGAAAATGAAGTTGTAAGTCCAATCTCTCTATGTCCTTTCAAATACATATTTCACCTAACTGACCTTGATTTTATAACAGTGGGCTTCCAACTCCTGAGGCACCAAAGAATGTACCTGATAAGAACCAAGGGAATCCTGGGACCAAAAATAACAATCCAAATTCACAGAACAACTAATAGGATTGATCAAAATCTTTTTTAAAAACAAATCAAAACATTTTATTGAATTTACAAGTAATTATTAATACAAGATTCAAAGAAACACCCTTTAATTGTGCTCAATTTCTCAAGCAATGGAAATCCAATTTTGATCTTTTGAGCATAATTTAAAGTGTTCCCAATCATAATTCTTTTGGAAATAATCATCCAAGCCAGACAGGGTGGGTGTGTTGACAAACAGGATTTCCACCCCCCTGGGCCCCTGCATGTTGGCTGAATCTAATCCATATGCTGTAGATCTAATATGTTTGATTTAACCAATAATTGCATTGGTCTCAAAGATTTTATAATAATCCATATTTTAACTGTTATTTCAACCAGATGTTCTTGTGAGATTTCTTTTTTTAGCTTAGGCTTAGAATGACAATTAAATTTATCTGAATACACTGGATCAACATTTTGAAATTGATGAGAGGTTTTCTTTTTCCATTAAAGGAAGACTTACATAGCTGTGTGGGCTGACAGTTGTTTTCTTTGAGAATATGCCTGATCATTTGGTAGCCACTGAAAAGGGAACCAAAACTGCTTCCAAAATCCAGAAAAAAGAACTTGTTGAAATTCAAATACACAAATTAGATTGATCTATACATTCTTAACGAATAATGGAAACTTGTTGAGTGGGAAAACCTCCACTCCAGATTACACCATCAGATGGCTGAGATTCCCTGCCCAAGAGGATCGATTGAAGATGAGAAATGAGTCTGATTCTTTGTAAGTTTGGGAATCAAATATCTACAAAATCAATCAGGACATTTTCAATTGGATGTCAAAAATTTCCCAATCCAATCCAAGATTCTTCTTTTTTTCTTGTTGTTGAAGATTAGAAAGCAAGATCATTTGTCAAAAGAAAAAAGGAACAGGTCAATGTGGACCCTGATTTGATTGGATGATCTCTGAGAGCATGTGTCACCCCACCAAATCATCAACATGAGCCCTCTCATTCCACCACAACATGGCTGGGCCTACAACAGTCAAGCCTGCTCTCTTGAGTTTAATTTTCATGTATATTGTTGAGATTACGCACACACATGGATTTGGTGTTCGACATGGCTAGGATAGTACCACTAAATTTGCTGGCTATCCAGTGTTTTCAAAGCAAAAAAAAACAAGGAATTCACCAAGCCAAGCCGGATTATGTTGGTTGGAATGATATGAGCAGATCTGATTACTCTATGGAGAGTGAGTCTCGATCAGTCATTGGTGACGTGTCGACCAGACATCAAGAAGAAGTTAATCTATATCTCATGATGTGAAGCAGTCACAGGGGCCCTTGACAAGCAGAAGAAATTTAGCAAGAACAATAATAAATCTTTATCCCTTCTTTCGGCAAACACAAACAGTGATCCTGTAATAGGCACCTCAAAGTGCATGTGTGAGAGAAATCCCAAGTTTGAAGATTCGTGAGAAAAGCGGAAGGAAGAAGCAAGGACCAACAAAACCTCAACACATAGAGCAAAGAAAAAAGGAGGATGATTGCGCTACCTCATACAAGTACAACAACAACAACAACAATGATAACAAGGAAGAGGCAACAAACCGAAAAGGCGAAAAACGAAATACCGTGCTTCCAGAAGGTGATGATGCAGGATGAGGACTTGGAAGTATGTAGACACATATATATATCAGACAAATAGATAATCTGTGTCTAATTCTAATATCCTCTAACTCTGAGACAGACCGCAAAAAAAAAGAAGAAAAAGAAGCAGATAACAAAGAAGAAAAAAAAAACAGGTCTATATCTATCCATGTATAGATTTTTGTGGTTGGTTTTGCCTATCAAGTTTATGAAAGAATGGTAGACAAGACAAAGCTTGGACTCTTTTTCGATCATAATAATAGTATGAAAAGAATGAGAAAAAGATAGGAGATGGATGAGGATAATGCGGGGAAGGATCAGGGACAGATTTGCAGGTCTGTACACGCTGGTGGTAAGGGCTCGTTGTGCCATGCAAGATGACTATCGAAGTTCCAGTCCGAAGTCAGAAAGAGAATAAATTCAAAGCAAAAGATTCGAGTCAATGTTTGTCGATTATTAGTGGACTTGCGGAATGAGGAGGGGAGGAAGGGCTTAAAAGAAAGGACGAACCAATTGTAACAGAGCGGTTCGATGTCCTCTTTTTTATCGACGATCAAGCCGATAAACTCATTCTCACCCCCGCTGATATCGGTTGGCCAATACCTAGGCCCCATGATAGTCGATCCGAGGAGTTCGGAGGCGAAGGCGAAGGCGCCGTTGTCGACGGGGAACTTGCGATCCTGGACGGCCCCGGCCTCCCAACGGAGGAGGGTGTGATTAGAGGGGTCGTAGACCGGGCCTTCCCAGCCATTGGGGCCGAGGTTGCCCATCGGCCAGACCCCGATCCGTTGGACGTCCCAGATGATCACCAACAGTTCGGGCAAGAAGTTGGAGTCGTCATCGATCGAGATGATCGGTCCGTGGCCGAAGATGCCGTCTTGGGTCGGATCAGCGAGCCGATGGATGAGCGCATAGGCCGCATTCTGCTGGGCGTTCCCGAAGTGGTGGGTGGGTCCGTAGGTGAAGTAGATGTATGGCAGCCCGCTCGCCGCCAACTCCTGGGCCACATCGTTCGCCAACTTCTCGCCGTCCTCGATGACGATCCAGATCAGCTGTCGCTCCTGGCCCCACCTCTGATGTCCTGGGCCCTCCGGCCAAGCTCGCGTCTTCATCAGCTCCAGATGGGTCCGGATCGTCTGGATGTGTCGCTTGAAGTACGCATACCGCAGGTGCTTCGTCCGTCCCGCCCAGCTCGTCTTCGTGTACAGGTAGGCCGTCGGCCTCCCAGGCTTTAGTAGCTCCAAACTCCATTGGATTAGTAATGGGATGTCTGCACCTAACTCGGTCTGGAGAAGCAAATCCAACGCCGGCCTCTTCGCCTAGCCAAGCATGTTGACAATATATATCTCGGATCGAAAGCTTCCAGAATCCAAAAAAAAACATTCCCGTCAAATCTCGGACGAAGGGGATAGTCCTCTTTGAGTAAAAATGGAGACATACCCAAACATGAGCCAACATCGATGCCCTCGTCCCAGTAGGAGTGGTGTAAGATGAGTCTTGCAGGAGGGGAGACTGGTGCGATGGGCCTTACAGTC